GGATTGGTGGATGAATGGATAATGGACAGATGAGTAGATAAATGAATGGGTGGGTGTGTGGATAGATGGATGGATGGATGGATGGATGGATAGGTAAGTGGGTAGATGGATGAGTGGGTAGATGATAAAGGATGGATTGATGGAAGGTGGATTGGGGAATGAGTGGGTAGATGGATGGATGGATAAGTGGGTGGGTAGATGGATGGATGAATAGATGGGTGGGTGTGTAGATGGATGGATGGATGGATAGATAAGTAAATGGGTGGATGGATGGATAAGTGGGTAGATGGGTGAGTGGGTAGATGAATAAATTGATGGATGGATGGAGGGTGGGTGGGTGAGTGAGTGGGTAGATGGATTGGCAGGTAGTAGTGGGTGAGTGGGCAGATAGACGATTGAACATCACAGTTCATCTTAACACAATAGTCATTACTATTGACAGTAACCATTAACTCATGCCTACTATTGTGATCACAGACATAATTGCTGCTAACAATTCTCATAGCTCGTGCTGTCAGAGATGTAATTATCAGTGCCTGTAAGCCACGCTGCAGGTAGCAGGGGGACAGACAGAAAACAGCACCTCAGGTTTAAAAAGTCCCTTGTGGTTTGCAAAACACTTTGGTTCACATATGGTACTTCATTTAAGTCTCATAAGAACCCCTTGAGGGAGATTCACCATGGGAGGCCCCAAAGCATCCTGGCTAGGAGTATGTCCCTGGAACCAGACCGCCAGGGTTTAAATCCCTCCACCACTACCAGGCCATGGTGACCTTGGCTAATTTGCTGCACCTTGCTTGGCCTCTGTTTCTGCATATGTGTGGAAATAACAAGACTGTTTCATAAAATGGCTGGATGTATTAATAGGAATCACAATAATTACCGAATGCTTACCACATGCCAGACTGGGTTATAATCATTTTACAAAAAACAACTCAGTTAAGCCTCATAACTCTGATGAGCTAGATAGTATTGTTTACCCTAACCCTACTTTTTTTTCTGGTTGTATACAAAGTATATTCACACCATCTGTGTATTCATATGTGTACTTAGGGTAATGATGTCCATCTCATTCCACCATCTTTTTAACCTCCTGCTCCTTCCCTTCCCCTCCCACCCCTCTGCCCTTTCTAGAGTTCATCTATTCCTCCCATGCTCCCCCTCCCTACCCCACTATGAATCAGCCTCCTTATATCAGAGAAAACATTCGGCATTTGGGTTTTTGGGATTGGCTTAGCATTATCTTCACTTAGCATTGTTAACTTCACTTAGCATTATCTTCTCCAACTCCATCCAGTTACCTGCAAATGCCATGATTTTATTGTCTTTTATTGCTGAGTAAACCTACATTTGTTTTAGTATTTTTAGTTGTACATGGACACAAACCCTTTACTTTATTCATTTATTCTTATTTGGTGTTGAGAATCAAACCCAGGGCCTCACACATGCTAGGCAAGCACTCTACCACTGAGCCACAACCCCAGCCCCTCCCCAGCTTTTTTAAGATAATGAAAGCAAAATTTACTTGCTTCCCGTTCTACTGGGAAGTGAAGAAACTGAATTTGAATCCATATATTGTGGTTTCTAGAGTCCCTACTCTTTATACCTTACAGTAGCATCTCTGAAAGAAATGTCCCTGGAAAGCATTTAGAGTGCCCGACTCCTAACAGATGCTCAATAAATGCTCGCCACATGCCACTAATTTAGCAGTATTACATGTTAGCATCCCCAAACTGCAGATGCTGAAACTAAGACTCAGGAGAAGCTGGGTGGCTAGCTCAGGATCACAGACTGATCTCCCTGCTCCATCGGGAAGGTTAGAGTGAGTCTGGGGATCGCAAATGGTCAACTGGCCTTGCTTTCATCTGGCCCACACTTATTGCACACTTATTGGCTACAGGTCAGTTCTAAGATCCTTCTGGACCGAAGGTCTAAGTCCCCTCAACTCCCACTTGTCCCTGAGAAAACAAAGGCCATTCTGGAAGGCTTCCAGTCAGCCTCCAACAAGGGCTTTGCCTTCCCTGAGCATCTCAGACCCATCTCTCCTCCCATCCTGCACTGGCCTGAAGGGGCCCTAACCCTTGTTCTCTCCCTTCTCTCCTAATGGCTGTGCCCCCTGTCTGCCACACTCTATCCTTGTCTTGATCCAGGCATTTATTTTTCCTTACACAGCTTCCTGAACTTACCCATAACACATTCACACTGGTGGGTAGGGGGGGGCGTTGGTGGGGGTGGTTCTACTTAACACAAAAGCCCCTGCACAACCTTTGAGTTGAGCCCAAGGCCTCACCCCACCCTGAGAAAGGAGCCCACGTGCTCTGATAGATCTCCCCTTGCAGCAGATTCTAGACTGGGGATGGGGCACGTTAAGGACCCTCAAAGACTTCTAGAAGAGGAAAAGGAGCATCTAACCCAAATCCAAACACCAACACTGTCTCCAGAGAAGCTCGGGGTCCTGGAACAGGCTTCAGTCAAACCTTTCTTATGGGATGGTAGAAAAGGGTCCAAGGCTTCAAGTCCAAAAGACCTTTCACTCCCTGTCATTTCCGTGTGACCTTGTGCACATGATTTCATTCCTATGAACCTCATTGTCTTTGTCTGTAGAATGGGTATCATCACAGTATCCACTTTTCGGGGTTGTAAGAATACAATGAGATTTTGTTTCCTTGCTTTTCATTCATTCATTCAACAATTATTTACTGGGCACTTTTGAAGAATGAGGTACTTTTCTAGACAGAGCAGCACATAATATACTGACCACCTGCCCCCTGAGAATTTACCTTCAGTGGATTACACTATATGAACAGGCACCTTTTTCCTTTTGTGCTGAGGACCAAACCCAGAGCTTCGCACATCCTAAGCAAGGACTCTATCACTAACTACACCCCAGTCCCCACATGGATGAGGTGACATGCAGTGCACACAGGGCCTGATTCATTGCACATGTTTAAGAAGTGGGGAGAGTGGAACTGGATGGTTGTTCTTCAAAGATGTACTTGGCCACACCCCACCTCACCTGTTCTGTTAGGGTCAAAGTTCATGAGTTCTGGGAACAGTGTGTACTCCAGTGGCCAAGTTGTGGGAACACTTCTGCACAATTGGAAGGAGAAGTACCGAGCACACCGTATACTTGATCTCTTCTTGAGGCAGTGTGTCCATATTATGGTCTCCTCCATGAGATACTCGTTGGTCCCAAATGAGCAGGGGACACTGCTTCTTCCTGCATCCCTGAGTAAAAGTGCTCCTCTGTAAGGTGTGGCAGTTTCTTCTAAAGCCTCCAGCTCCTCCTGACCCTTGGCTGGGAGGCTGCACACCCTGGATGAAAACAAAGTGGATTTTAACACAGTTCATTATCCCCAGTGAATTGAGAGGCAGCCAGGGGACAGAGGAGAGTGACTATTATTATCCCCATCTTACCGATGAAGGAAATCTGGGCTCCAAAGTGAAGGGACTTGCCCAGGGTCCCACACCAGGATGTAGGAGAGCTCAGATTTGAACGGGGACTGCTCTGACTCCAGATCCTGTGTCTTAGCTGCAGCCTACACAGTGCACCCGCCCGCCGGGCACTTCAGAGAGAAAGAAGGTTGCTTCCCAAGGGAGAGGAAGAGCCCTGGGCTGGCAGCCAGGAGACCACCCCACTCTCTGGGCATCTCCACTTCCTTGTTCTCTATAGCTCAAGACAATTTCCTTTCACTCTCCAAGCTTCGGGCACCCTCTGGGAAAGTTAAAAGACCCAAATGCTCAGCTCTAAAATGTGTGCAAGAGGGAAGGATTGTGAGGAGCACTGGGGTCTGGAGCTGCGTCAGGGGACTCAGTCCTCTCTTCTTGTCCTGGGCCCCTTCCCCCTCTTTGTCCCGAGCCCAAGATGGCCAGCTGTCTGTGGCTGGGCGGGGCGGGTCCCTGTGCCAGGCTCAGCCGAGCTCAGCAGGGGCCCTTTGTCACCCAACGCTTGCCGGGGCCTCGGTCGCTGGTGTTGGGTGTCTGGGCAGATTGGATTCTCTCCTGGCAGCCCCACAGATGCTGCACTCCTACAAGGGTGGCCTGGCGGGCAGGGAGAAGCCGGCGGGGCTCCCTCCTCCTGTGCTCCTGAGAGGGACAATCAATCGGCCACTGTCCATGGTTCTGATGTGAGGGGGTTCCAGGTGAGGGCTCCGTGACCAGAGCTCATACGAGGGACCAAGCTCGAGGCTCAATTCTGTGCCTCATGAATATATATATGACAGGCGTCTCTAGCCAGGCCAAGGGCCCTGATTAACGTGGTTGGGGGCTGTGGGTGGAGGTGGGGATCTTTTCTCCTTCCCTGTGCCTGTGAAACCCAAGTGGGGAAGGAATGTGGGGAGAAGAGAATGTACTACGGGCAGAGGTGGCGTGGGTGGGAGTGGTCATGTGTGTGTGTCCAGAGGCCTGTGTTCCTAGGGAGAGGGAGGGCATGTCTCAGATTTTGTGGGGCTGGGATGTGGGTAAACAAGCGTAGTCAGAGAAAAAAGGAAACGGGGTCTGGTGTGCACACAGCGTTTGGTGGGGCAGGGGTGGGGATATGAAGTTGTATGCCTAGAAGTGTGACAGTGTGTGACAGGGTGGGGCTGTTCCTCAGAGTGGTATGAATGGGGGGCCTGAGTGTTGGTGCGTGTGTCTGGCAGTGGGGGGGGGGCTAGGAATATGCATTTTGGGTATTGCATGGCAGACGGTGTGGGCACAGGGCTGGTCGGAACTCAGCATGTTACACAGCATGGAAAATTGGGGATAGGGTATGTTATGAGGCTCTACCAGGCTGTGTCTTGAGCTGCTCTGTTGTAGGGTTCGGTGGTTGCTGCTAACCATTCGGGTGTACAGTGTTGCTAGTGGGTTGGGAGTTGTTGAACTAATGCCTGAGTGAGAGTGTATGTGTGTGTGCTCAGCGTTACTTGGGACCATGTGTGCACACCTACAGCCTGGATTTTACTGAGCCCCTGTCTCAGGAGGACTCCAGTGCCTGACCCACTCTCTGCTTGTCCCCACAGGAGCCACCACCCCTGACCATGTAGATGCCAGCTTCAGGTAGCAACATGGACCCCACTGAATGGAGACTCCTGGGTCTGCAGCCCTGAGCCCCTCTGGCCCCTGGACCTTGCCCCCCACCTGGGGACACACCTTGGAGCTCACCACTGCTGTCGCCAGCCCACCTCAGCCACCCCCTCCCTCCGGGACCCGGAGTCGGCCACCTGGAGCTGCAGCTGTCCAGTGAGGGTGTGCTGAGAACAGCCACACGCAGCCATCACCCAGAAGCCTCTTGTCCAGTGCTGACCTTTGGGCCCACCCTGAGCAGGGACTTCAGCAAACATGGGTGATATGACCAACAGCGACTTTTACTCCAAAAACCAAAGAAATGAGTCGAGCCATGGGGGTGAGTTTGGGTGCACGTTGGAGGAGCTCCGCTCCCTCATGGAGCTGCGGGGCACAGAGGCTGTGGTCAAGATCAAGGAGACCTACGGGGACACTGAAGCCATCTGCCGGCGCCTCAAAACCTCACCTGTGGAAGGTAAGTGTGGGAGACTTGAACCCAGGGCTGCAGGCCCGGTGGCCACTGAGTTGGCACCAGGGACTCTGTTCATAATATTTAGTGGCAGAGATGTGTCGGAAGTGGACTGAAAATTGCCAGAATTGCCATTCTAGTGTGTTCTAGCTGGGCGTCAGCCACTTTGAGGAGGCCAGGGGAAAGAGCATCATCATCTGGGCTTGGGCAGGAGCCACAGCATTGCAGGTGCATCCGGTTCCAGCTGCCCAAGGGAACCCTGTGGCCAGGCTGAAGTCACATCCTCTTGCAAATCCAGATTCCAGTTGGGGATGGCTGGAGATCTTGGGGCAGCTGTGGACTGTGGAACTGCTGGGCAGACAGGGCAGCAAGAAGATGGGCCATGATAGGCAGGGTGACAGACACCCTTGTTTGTCTTTCCCTGAGGGTGAAAGTGGGGTTTTCTTGCAATTGTCAAAATAAGCAGGCTTGGAATTTCCAGAGAGAGGCTTTTAGCTCCTAGGGCTTTTCAGAAGGGGATCAAAAGTCCCAAAGGCATGGGTCCAAGGCCCTGCCCGACTCTTCCAGTCCTGTGACTTTGCACAAAAACTGCCCTGAGCTTTGGTCTGTTCTCTGTAACATGCAGTCAATGCCTCCTACACAGTGCTTAGTGCAGCGCTAGGTATACAGTAGGTGTTCAGTAAGTATGATTATTCTAGAAGTGGATAACAGTCTCTCCCCCAAATGTAGATCACACCTGGATTGGAGGCAGACAACAACTAGATTGGAGAAATCTGTCCCCCAGTCCCCATGCCTGGGTACTGCTGGTCACTAATCCTGAACTCGTTTCTATAGAGGCTACGTCACCGGCCCTGCTGCTCAGCTGGGACCCACCAGGGCCAGCCAGACAGTGCAGTGGCCACACATGCCTACCCCCTGCCACACCCTGCAACTCCTGGATGTCTGTGGTCAGGAGGCAAATTCTCATATTGACTGCTCTCACTGAGATTGTGCCTGTAGGACGAGCCCAGGCAGAAGTTTAAAAGTGAATCTCCTCCCTTGGTACTGTTTGGTCACAATTCAGTGGGAGGGGAGGGAAGAGGGAAGCATCAATTCTGACTCAAGGCCTGAAGATGGCCGCTTGTGGCCCTAAGATGGGCACAGGCTCTGCTGCAGGCTCCTGGGTCCCAGTCTTGGGTGACCACAAATCCCTGGCGGAATGGACCATGCTCATCCCACCATCAGGGCCACACCCTGGCCTGCGAGGAGGCAGAGCTGCCTGAGCGGCCTTTGCCTCTTGACTGGGGACCAGCATAGAAATTCTTGAATATCTCTGGGTCCCAGCTCTGGGGAAAAGCTGAAGGAAGCTGGGATCACTGTCCCCAGGAACAGCCACTGCCTGCCACAGGTGGGGTTCCATACCCCCTTGAAACTGGGCCATGGACTCCAAGTTAAGAAATCCACCCTTCCCTCCCACAAGAAAAGCTCTCAGGCCCCAGGGAATTGGGCAGTACATGGTCAAGGTCCAGCCCTGTACAGAGCCAGTGCCAGGTGTCTTCTTTGACACCACCCCCACTCCCCTACTGGGGAGAAGAAGCACCCACAAACCTGAGGGGTGGGCCCTGTCTGCTCTCTATTCACTCAGCAAGCGCCTGGGCCTGATATACGAAGGCTCGGGAAGTACCCGGGGAAAACCCAAGATGTGGCCACCAAGTCCCCAGCCCCTGGGAAGCAGCTCAGGCAGCTGATTGGCCAAACATCAGGGGACCAAGAGCAGCAGGGACTCCAGGGCTCACAGGGAGGTGAGGCAGGTGGGCAGCAATGTCAGAACAGGCTTCCTGGAGGAAGAAGTGTTTGCACTTGACTGTGGAAGAAATAGAAATAAAGCCTACAGTGTGAGCTAGAGCAGCCTGTCTTAGAATTCTGCAGCCCTCTGGCGTGCTCAAGAAATCCCTCATTGCGTAAAAGCCGATGGAGTCAATTTTGTCATCTGTAAAACTAAAAGAACGACATCTCTGAGTCGCTGTGCCGCCTGCCAGCCATGTACCTCTGGGCCTTTGGTCTGACCTCTCTGGACCTTGGTTTCCTGATTTCTCACGAGGACCAGTTGAGAGGAAGATCTCTGAGGAGGAAAGTCCATTGTAGGATCAGCTCAAATTCCTGCTGTCTTGGTCTCTAGAAGGATCTCCGGGACATGGCAGGGGTAGGAGTGGGAGAGATCTGGGGAGCAGCAGAAGAGCAGAAGGCTCTAGATCCCAGACATGGATGGACTGGTTCAAATCCCAGTTCTGCCACTTGTCCACTGTGGGTCTCTGGGCATGTTCATCAAACTCTCTGTGCTTCCGCTTTTCATCTGTAAAATGGGGATAACAATGTGGTGACCTCCCAGGGTCATGGTGAGGACAAAGTGAGGTGGCTGGGAGTCGTGCAGACATGTCAGTGGTTCTGTGTCAGGATTCAGCCTCAGAGAATAGGCACCTCCACCTCCCTGTCAATAAGATGCGCTGTGCATGTTGAATGAGACTAAGCCGAGTACCCAGCGTCTGTGTGCCCGCTATGTCAGTCCTTCTTGTTATCATCCTGGGAGTCATTATTCTGGAAGAAGCAGTCATAGTCCCCAGAAAGGGTGCAATGTGCCTCTTTTGGATCCCTGGTCTTCATGTGGAGCAACACTTTGAATTAGACTAGACTGCTCTGCTTCCCCCATGACGCATGCTCCTGAAAGCAGGTGTTTTCCTATTTTACAAATGAGGAGCATGAGGGCCCAGCAGGCTTTGAACCCAGCTCCACACAACTCAAGCTGAGCATGTCCACCTGGGAACAGTCCTCTCTGGTGTCCACTGTTGAGGCAGCCCTGAGTTGAAGGGGATCACCAGGGACACTTTTCCTTACCTTGACTCTTTCCTTACCTTGACCCTGTTTGAGCCTCCCACCATTTAAAGAAATGCTTAGCCTCCAGTCTCAACTCTGACTTAAAAGCCAAGTAGTCTGGGCTATGCTGACTCTGGCCACTCCTGACACCCCCTGTCACTTATCTGCTGATGTGAGTCCAGAATTGGCCCCCAAGTCACTCATGTTGCAGGAAGCTGCTCAGGCCCTGCATAAATCAGCCGTCCCCTTCACATCCAGCTAAATTTAGGCAGAAAAAAAACTCTAAAAGTGATGGATGGAGTCTGAAGCCACATCCCACCCAGTCTGAAGCTGCACAGCCTGTTGCACCAAAGAAATTGGTATTGGATTTTCCACCTGGGGGCCTGACTTGGGTGATGCCTGTTGGGTAACCCTGGCCTGCTCTGCCCTATCTGCGCACCTTTCCTTCCTCATTTACTATGGTTCTGCTTGATGTCCTTCCCTTTTTACCTTCTGTTCCCTTTCCTTCCACACCCTTCCAGCCTGGGGCAATAAAGTTGCAGTCTTGAGGGGCTTCTCTCTGAGGGGCACTGAGAAAGTTGAATCCAAGCTCTCTGGGCCCCAGCTGACATCTCTGTGAAATGGGGATGATAACAGTCCCTGCCCAGGCGACCAACCAGGCGGGTTTATGAAGCTTGTTCCTATTACACCCAAACATTTCTTTGAAAAACAAAATACCTGGGCCCCACCCCCATGAAAGAGGCCATCAGATATGACAGTGTCTAGTGCAGGGTCACCATGCTCTCAGTGGCACAAACATGGGTGGCAGGTTTGGGGGCTAGTCCCCAGAACCTAGTTCAGTGCCCAGGGGCATAAGAAAGATTCATAGAAAGAAGGAAGGAAGGAAAGAGAAAAAAAAAGAAGACGGAGTGTCCTGGCATGTCTTGCTGCCCAGGACGGAAGCTGCAGGCCAGAGACAGGACACAGGACACCCAGTGTCACCCACGGGACAGGTGGCTTCAGTTCCCCAGGCCCCGTGTGGTGCGGCCCTGAGCCACAGAGCTGGGTGGCCCTCAGCCTTCACTTCCTAAACTTGCACCTTGGGCTGTCAGAAGGGATGGCTCAAACAGGGCCCTGTCAGGTGTCCACCACTCTGTTTCCTGCTGGGGACGATCAAAGGGTCAAAGAAGACGGGGCAGTGAGGGGTGGGTGGGAACTGGATACTGCCGTGCGTTGCGAAACGGAACCTCTGGTTAATTTTGCATGAATCCCACAGCTGCCCAGGTGAGGGGGGAGAGAGAAAGGGGTTCGGCCTGGGCAGGAGGCAGAGCACAGAAGGTGGCTGCTTCGTGTCACATACGCTATTAAAGGAGAACGCCCCTGAGGCCGGCAGCACCCCATCATCCACGTACCCTGGCCAGCTGGGCGCCAGGGAGGCTGTGGGGCAGTGAGCCAGCACCTCTGTGTGCACAGTTCTCCATGTTTTCTGTCTCCCCATGGACCACTGGGCCCCTGCAGGGTCCATATAAAGTGGCCCAGGCTCCATATAAAGTGGCCCAGGCTCCTTTCTAAGGCTTTGAACTCTGTCAGATGTGAATCCTGGGAGGGAAATGATTCTCCCAAGTATTTCAAGAGGCTGAGCAAACCTAGCCACCTTCTCAAATAAATGTGGGGGGTGAAGGAAGAGAAGGCACAAAGACTAGGGAGGTATCTCCGTCTCACCTCTGTCACTAAGTAGATTTGTGAGACTCTTGCAACCTGTTTTCTTCTCTCTGAAATGAGATTTGGGCCACTTTCAGTGAGTTGAAAATGTTGTGAAAGTATTCTGCAAAAGAATAGGCTTGTATTTACTGGGCACTTCTATCCACTAGGGTTCTATTGAATAGAAACCCATCTTAAACTGACTTATGAAAAAAGGAATATTCTGGGCTGTGAGTGGGGTCTCATAAATGGCCTAGATATGGCTGAGGAACAAAAGTAGCATTTAGGAATGCCAGCGTTAGCATGACCATCCGTGTCACCAGCCAAACTACGACAGTGTTAACAATTACACCAGGGCAACAGGCATCCGCTGAGCCTCTCCAGGCAGGGGAGTRTCACAGCAGTGAGGAGGCTGACTTTGTGGCGGTTCTAATCCTGTTTCCACTTCTTACCCAGCTGTAGAATATTAGACCAGT